AAGATGTGTTTTTCTGTGTTCGAGAAATGGTTTTTCTGTGTTCGAGAAATTCCATAAGTAGCGGACCTTGAACTTCGAAAAAGACGGGGAGCAATACCTTGCCTGCTGACGGCACGGCTTTCAACTTTTTAGGGGGAGGTGACGAGCATGCTTCCACTGCATGCTGTCCCGCTTTGTCTCTGGCTCGTAGTGATGGCACCAGGTCTCATCACCTGTGACCATCCGCTCCATGAAAGCGGGGTCTTCCTGATACCGAAACAGAGGTTGCAGTGCTAGCCCCATACGCAGTTCCTTTTGCTGGTCGGTGAGCTGCTTCGGAACTCAAGCGGCACACACTTTCCGATATCGCAACCTGTTGTAAACAATTGTCCACACGGTTCCTTAGCTGACATCCACCTTCACAGCCAACATTCGCAATGTGACACGCCGATCACTTCTCACTAGGTCGTCCACCTTGTCGATGAGATCGCTCGTGATGACAGTGTTTGCCTGGCCTGGTCTCGGATCATCACCCACACTCTCACGACCTGCACAAAAACGGGCACTCCATTTTCTGGCAGACATGTCAGAGACACATTTCTCCCCGTAAACTGTCACCATCTGGCGATGGCGATGAATAGCTGCCGGTTTCTCACCTTCCGCTGTTAGAAATCGGATAACACCTCGCTGCCCCTCAGTCGTCGAATTTTGCAACGCGAACGCCATCCTGTCCTCATACGGACTGCCGCATCATTTGGACGCCGCTTTTGATAAGAGCCTCTGCTCTCTCCAGCACATGCGGGTGCCCGTGCGTACTCCGATCCCAGTCAGAGACTCCAATCGCATCCCGAGATGTCTCACTACGTTCTCCCATGGCGGAATATGCAAATATTTAACTGTTACGTTTTTACGTCGTTTCGTACCTTTTCATTTGATCACCCCTTGTAGATTCGTACAAGTGAAATTAAGCATTTTTTTCCATAATCAGAATGATTGTATTTTTTTCCCCACTGTAATATTAATTACTGAAGTACACTTACTGGGGACATCACAGAACTTCCCCTAAGATGACCATTTTCACAGAATACTGAAATCATTTAGAATAGTGATTTGTTTGGGAGGTTTCATTGTACAAGTGAGCAGTTGGGGGGACGACCTTAATTATTATAAATAACAAGATAATACTACTCATAATTTCTATATTAGGAAAATAGCATGTGATGCATGAATTTCTCAAAAACATTAGGGAGAAATATTTTGATATGTTTATTTGTTAAGGAGATAGTTACTTGATGAAACTCACAAATGAATTGTGAATGGAGTGTTTTGTTCATTTGAAGCAATTCAGTATCGCACTGTTTATCTAGGAAAAAAGCAACATTGTCATTGTGAGTGAGGAAAGAAGCTGTATGTGTTACTGTTGATAAATTTAACGACATTCAGCCTACTATTACTCAGATTATTGAAGAAGTTCAGTGAAACAGAATCAGTGCATTGAGACTTAAGTTATATTTTGGATACAACAGTGATCATCTAAATACAGTAATCTAGTTATAGCTCCTTTTGTGCCAAGTCCTCAATACATTTCACGCTTTGGAAATAGGTTCATGCAAAGTTCTGTCGCATAGGTATTATACACTGGTGTGCAAAAATTAAGGACGAGACGGTTTTTTCAATATAACTTTGTACAAAAGCTTTCCAAATCAACACATTTAATACCGTAAGATCCCCAATACGTAAGGACATGAGTAATGTAAGCAACACTTACTAAAAGTGAAATCAGAGGGATAAAAAGAAGCTTTATTGAAAAAGTAGCATGGAGCGCAATGCGACTGAAGGCCGAAACATCCCTGTGATGGGTGTCCAGCAAGAAAATCCGGTCTTCAATAGGGGATATGATCTCCCCTGACTGCTAGGCAGGTTTCACAGCGTCTGCCCATACTGAGAATGAGGGTGTCAATGAGTTGTTGAGGCATTGCTGCCCATTCGTCTTGCAGCGCCAATCGAAGCTCCGGAATCGTTACTGGTGGTAAGGTACGAGCTGCCAAGCGTCTGCCTAGAAAATCCCATACATGCTCGATGGGATTGAGATCCGGAGATCGTACCGGCCAATCCATACGTTCAATATCCTCACTCTCTAAGAGCTGTTCGGCAGCTACTGTGCGATGACATGGTGCATTGTCCATGAAAAGGAACTGCGGACCCATAGCGCCTCTAAAAAGACGCACATATGGAAGAAGAATCTCGTTACAATAACGGGTCCCGTTGACTGAACCTGCGTCGAAAATGTGAAGGTCTTTACGACTACCAAGCATGATGCCTCCCCAAACGAGAACACCGCCACCTCCATACCTGCCCCTTTCAATGATGTTCGAGGGATGATTGCGGCTTCCCCGCTCTCTCTAGATGAGTATGCGATGAGAATCGCTACTCAGACTGAATCTGCTCTCATCTGTAAAGAGTATTCGTTCCCATTCATTGTCTCTCCAATTTCGGTGTTCCCGGCACCACAGAGAACGCCTTCTCCGATGGGCAGGCGTTAGAGGTACACACCGTACAGGGCGTCGTGCAAACAGACCACCACCGTGCAGTCTTCTGGCCACGGTAAAACGCGATATCGGTCGTCCAGTCGCCTGTGTCGTGTGTCTAGCGATTTCTCCCGCTGTCTGCCGCCTGTTTCTTCTGGCCTGTAAGGCAATATACCGGTCATCTGCGGGTGGGGTTCCTCGTGGACGACCACTACTACTAACCCCCGGATAGCTGTTCTGTGTTCCTGTAGTTTGAATTTGTCTCCAAAGTCGAGAAACGATGCTGTGAGCAATTCCGAACTCTGCAGCCACACTTGTCACACTGCGGCCTTCCTCCAACTTCCCAATGATTCGACCTCGGGTGAAAAGCATCCAGATGTCGTCTAACAGATTGATTATTCGCCATTTCTCGCTGAGGCAGCAACTCGGTGTGATTTATTTAACTGCTATACGGCGTGCAATCTCTTTGCCAGAAATACTGATCTTACACCGACAACATGCTTTTATACTACTCAGACACTCCCCCCCCATTACGTCTACCTGCATATCTGCGCATGTGCTACCGTAACATCACCTTACTTAATCTCCTGATTGGTCTTTCTGTCCGCTCTGCCTCTTCGTTCAGCTGATATGCTAATTTTTCGACTTAGTCCTTAATTTTTGCACACCAGTGTATACAAACAAATATCTGTATAAACATGCAAAAGCAGATGATTTTAACAAACAGTTGCAGTATTTAGTATTGGCTTTGTAGGAAACTGTTATGAATACCATGTTCCTATGAAGGTTTCTGTTCAGAGATGAGCCTTGTTTTTTTATGAATGAGAAATTAATTAACAGAACAAGTGTTATATATGATATGAACAAATGTTTCTCTTTGAAAATGAGTCTCATTTCTTTGCGAATGATGAAAAACAAAATTATTGCTGTGTATAATAATATGGGTCTGTCATAGTCTTATCCCACTGATTCTCGGCTATATTAAAATCATAGAAATCTTCCATAGTAATAATAAATAAAATAATAATCTTATTTACGTAGGTTGATCCAAAAAAGTTTACAAGCAGAAGCATACGTAATAATTGTGGAGCGAATATTTCCACCCAGGGTGGTTGACAGGTGGCGCTAGTTGTCCTACAGCGGTTCTACGAGTAAGTAGCGTCAGTAGGTAGACACTTAAGAGCGACAATAATGGCACGACGTCTAGAAAAGTGGTCTCGCATAGAGGTGCGAACAGTAATTTGATTCTTATGGGCGAAGAATGTGGCCGCATCCGAAATTCACAGACAAATCGTTGAGGTATACGGGGACAAAGCAATGAGTAGACAACAGGTAGCGAAATGGTGTCGTTCTTATCAAGCGGGCAGGGAGCATGTGAAAAACCGCAATATGGAAGCGAGCGGCCGTCCAAGTTCTTCACGGACGGATATCAACACGGCACGTGTTGAAGAAATCATCTAAAGGGATCGACGAGTAGCCGTACGTGAGATTGCCTCAGAGTTGGACTTGAGTTATGGTAACGTTCAGCGTATCGTAACCGATGAGTTGCGATATTCCAAAGTTTGTGCCCACTGGGTTCTACGTGCGTTGCCCCCGGAGCATAAGGCCACTCGAATGATGTGCAGCCTCATATTTCTTCAGCGATACCATTCAGACGGCCAACACTTCATTGATCGCATCGTTACCGGTGATGAAACATGGCTTCATCACTTCACCCCCACATCCAAAAGAGCCACGATGGAGCGGAAACACGATGGATCACCGACGAGGAAGAAGTTTAAGGTCACACCCTCTGCCCGGTAAAGTGATGGCAACCGTTTTCTGAGATACGACTGGTGTTATCCTAATCGAGTATTTGGAGCGTGGCCATACCATTTAGGCCGATCGTTATTGTGCCACCTTAACGAAATTGCGTAAAGCCATCCGACGCACGAAACGGCCTGGATTACTGAGCAAAGGCGTCATTATTCTGCATGACAATGCCAGGCCCCATACAGTTCGCCAGACTCAGGAATTTCTGCAAAGGTTCAAGTGGGAGGTCTGGAATCACCCCTCATACAGCCGCGATTTGGCTCCAAGTGACTATTTCATTTTTCCAGCGTTGAAGCGATACTTATCCGGAACACGGTTCACCTTAGACGATGCAGTGAAAACAGCTGCCGAGAAATGGCTCAACGAGCAGGGCCTTGATTACTACCAAGACGGGATAAACGAGTTGGTCGAACGTTCTGACAAATGCCTAAACAGGTTTGGCGACTATGTGGAAAAGTGAAGGCCAGATGTGTCTCTTGATTCCCATTTGTATTTTGTTTCTATTGTTAATAAATACTTTTTCATTTGCCTTGTAAACTTTTTTTTTGGATTACCCCTCGTAGTTCTTAGACTGTCAATGCTAAGCTAGATCACCCGGAATATAAAAGTAACAATATATTCGCACCAACTTCATAAGTCATCATCTCCCGAATGAGTAAAATTATAAAAAGCATTAAAACATTGTGTATTTTGAGAAAAGTATTGTTTATATTTAACTTCTTATATCTAATTTCTAATTTAACACTTTGAACAAAATTCAACATTGCCACTTTTAAAATGTGGTTTAATTTTGAATCCTATATATATCTGAATTTCCATACAGCACCTGCTTAAACTATTTAAATTACAGTACTTGTGAAAAGGTCATTAATTATGGTATTAAAAATGTTAGTTGAGTGAAGTTATGGGAAAAGTCTCACGAAGAAATGAAATGTAATATATTGTAACTCATCAAAAATTGTTTGAAATTATGTTTTTAATGGCGTGTTTCGAAGTACAGACGAATGTTTTATAGACAAAAAATATTTGCAGAAATCGGGTTTTGTTAATTAAAATTATTCTAAAAAAACGGGATTTTTTTTCATTATCTGAAAAAATTCCGATGGCCAACAAATTCTATACATCTATAATGATGATTAACTAATAAAAACAGACCAAAACTACTCGCTTTTAAAAGTTTGTAAGAAACTGATTGATAAAATAAAACAGAAAACTAAAGCACCAGCTGTAAAGAAGAAACATAATTTTCAGAAATCAAAATTCCAGTTGCACATTAAAAAAAAAAAAAAAAAAAAAAAAAAAAAAAAAAAAAAAAAAAAAAAAAAAAAAAAAAAAGAGAGAGAGAGAGAGAGAGAGCTATAAAACTGAAATAGCTACCAAGATATCATTGAGCTAACTTCGGAATAAGCATAAAGAAAATAGTATTCCAAAGAATTTTCAAGTAGACATGAGGGTTGTGATCACTGAAAGTGTTTTGCTTGTGATAATGCATTTCTGAGAAAGAGAAGTATTGCATTGGGGTTCAAATGATTATTTGACAGTGTACCTATCAATGATACTGATGAGAAACAGAATGTTTCTTGAATGTTTTTACATTATTACATCTCTTCTCTTTAGTCTTGTGCTTTGCAAAACAGAGGAATATTGCATTTGAAAGGTAACCATGAACATCCAGCAGTGATACTCCAAGCCACAAACCAATGTACCCACCTATGATACTGAAGACTTGTATTCCCTGAGGGAAAAAAAAGAAATTCATTAAAAAATGTGAGTTCAAGATTTAGCAAAATTTATTTAAAAAAGAAAGCAGCTTCATATACCACAAACACCTTAAAATGATTACAGTATAAAGTTCGAAATCCGAAATAATCTAGTGTCCCACACTTCGTTATAGATAAAACATTTCCATTTTTGAGAAACATTAATTAATTAGCGTAAATTTGTATGATCACTAATTTATCTCTGTAACCATCTTATTGCTCGGCATATATCTCAAACCACATTCTGTCAAAGTTTACCGTTGATTTTATGCTAATTGAATATTATATAACACTTACGCCAACCTGGTGAATCACTTTTTATTATTTTTTGCTTTCATCACATGACTATCATTCCCCGGCATAATTTTTTGTTTAAGTATCAGTAATTGAAGGCATAATCCTATCCTGATAGCCTTTTATGTTGACATTACGCTCCAGCGGCGATTACAAATTTATGTCATCTGCCGAAGAAGTCTTTAACAGAAATTTCCACAAATAGATTTTGTAAAACATATTCATATGCCATTTAGTGGCATATGAATTAGCCCATGCCTCGGTCAAATTCATATGCTAATTCACATATTCATATGCCATTAGCCCATGCCTCGGGATAATCCTCACAAATTCTCTCACGTGGTAACCACACATATATTCCATTATCCTGAAGTTTCGCGTGCGTAAAGCTAGACTCTTCCCCCTAATTGCCCGAAACAGCGTTCTATCTATAAATAAACTACTCATTTATAAGTCCATCTTGCGGTCTATGCTCTGTTATAGATGTTACCTATTCTATCAAAAGAGGCTTAAATGGCAGAATTAAAAAAAAAAAAAAAAAAAAAAAAAAAAAAAAAGCCTCAATTGGGAAGCCCTGAAAAGACACATAACCATCTTTATAACTAAAAATTGCTTACAGTTAAAAACTCCCTCAAACTGCACTAGGCAGGTGCATAATGGAAAAGTACCGCCGTAAGTATATGTGGGAATTTATTTATCAATACTCAGATAATCCTTAAGCATATGCAGAAAATACACGTAAATACAATAAATAACAAAGCTAATATAATTTAGGCTTAATTTCCTCAGCGCGCGATAGGAGCAAAACAAATGTTAGCGGGACAATATGTCTTTAGTCGCTAGTCTCACGATACATCGCCAATAGTGTATTGCGGACGCTCGCTAAGCTTTATTATGATAACCTGGGAATTTGAAAGTTTTCGGATATCACAAACAAAAAAGCAAAATTTTCCAATGAGATACATTCCGGTGACGTCGGAGGACGTCACCGGAATGTATGGTCACCGGAATGTTCCCGGTGACGTGATGTAAGAACTGCTAATGTAAACACACAAGCTTGTGCTGCGGTAGATGTGTTGAAAATTCGGAAACTTTGTTTATTTTTAATTAGTTATGAAATTTGCATTTCATCTTTAATTATTATTTCATCCATTAACTAACTGTTCATTCATTTGGTTAGTATAATTTTGGTAACTCTTACATGTTATTGTTATCTTAATGATACTCTTTTGTTCGCTGCTTTACCGCGTTTAGATTGTTAATATCTATTTATGAATTCTTTCCTTGATCTGATAATTAATTCATTTATAAAAAAAGTAAAAATGAATACATAAAATCATGTTTACATAGATTGCTCTTCTACACTAAAAAAAAGTTACTATTAATATTTTTAAGTCATAACAGAACATTAAATATAAATAGTTGGTTTCTGAAAATCGTAATACTCAAATTTCCGGAGCGCTGTAAATGCAGTTGGCCCTTAAATCATGTAAGGATAACGATTCCAATGTTCTGCACGGTTCAAAATTAATATATAATTTTATACAACTTAAACTTTAATTTTTAGCAACTGACTATTATCCTGTTGATAGTATAAGGTGCAAATTAACACATTTTGTATACTATAATATAGATGTTAAAAAATATATAGATTTTTGTAACTGAATTCATTGCAGAACTAGCTGTGAAACTAATAATTTTTCATAATACATTTTTTTTTCATTTTATAATAATAAATAAAAAAAGTACTATCTCTACACATTTTTAAATATTCAAAAAATAAATTTGAAGTTATTTTTAATCTTGTAAGTTACATAATTTATGTGCAGAATGTTTTATTTTTAAATTATGTAGCTCAAACAGATTTTCAAGTGTATTTATTGAAAAGATCTACCATAGGAAATAGACTAGTGTAATTCTAATGCACATGTTATCTCAAACTATAGACTAACACAACCACTGATTTTCAAGGACTAAATATACATGCTAATTTATTATTTAAACTAAAAAAAACTCAGCAATCTCCCATAAAAATTTAGAATTAAGTATAAATTCTTATAAAAGCAACCTTTTATATCAAAATGTTTCAGTATTAGGATGCTTCTAATATTACAGACGATGGTATCCTTAATATCTACAATGGAAGGTATTAAAGAACTTTAACATTCCGATATTTATGTGTATTCATTAAAAACGATTTACAACAGCTAAAATATTAAAACATATCCCGATGAAATTAATAAAATTTTAGCTGCGTAAAATGTTCTATGACTCTAATTAATATTTAATAAGAGAAAATTGGCTTTGTATTTATGTTCTTGCAGATAAACAGATCTTTCACGAATTCGGCTATTCCAGTAATTCAGAACAACTATTCATGAACTATGAATATACTATTATTACACCTTACATTTAAAAGTTTGCAAAACGTTATTCAAGGTCTCGGGAATAGTTTTCAATTAGCTGATTATATTTAATTACTCTATGCTATTTAATATTCTTAATGAAGGCATTATTAATACTGGTAAGCATCATGCATAAGAAAAATTTATAAATCTTATCTCGTTTTCTGGAGAAAATTGCACAGATGTTTCAAGAAACGAATATTGTTTACATAGTTTTTCTTAAATAACAAAAGACCCTTCTTGTTGACATCAAGGAAAGATAAATCATTTCCATGAGTACTTTTTAATTTCTGGCAATAGTCATAAATTTCTAAATTCGAAAAATGAATTACTTTCAGCGGAATCGACTCCATTGTAAACACAGCGCATGCGGATGTTGTTGTTACTAGAGCACGTGACCACATTTTTCCTCTTCTTCTCTTGCGGAATGTATCTCATTAATGGAATTTGTGGAAAAGTGGTAATAAATGGAGATGATGTAACAGAAGTAATATATCATTGGGGTGACAATGCCCTGAAAATCAATCAACTAACGGACGGCGAAATCTGTAGTAAGATTCCAAATCGAGAAAATTTCACTGAAAAAAGTGACCGAGAAGTTGCTGACAACAATAACAAAGAAATATTGGGAATATTCGACATGGTAATTACATTTCCCCAATCATTGTATTAGACTTATTGCTTCCTATCTCCAAGACAGAATCTTTGCAGTGAAAATTGGCAGTTCTGTTTCTTCCACGAGAAAAATTTTCGCTGGAGTGCCTCCAGGATCTGTACTTTCTCCATATTTATATAACATTTACGATATTCCTAAGGACCCACAAATTACCATTGCTCTTTTCGCTGATGATACTGCAATTATGACCCAAGCTTCTACTGTTACTGATGTCCAGCTCCTTCTTCAACATTACCTCAATCATCTAAAAAATTGGCTCACTCTTTGGAGGATTGCAGTTAATACCGAAAAATCAAAAGCAATAATTTTTCGCAAAGGCCAAACAAATTTCACTCCACCTAGACCTCTTCTGTTTGATGAAGAAATTGACTGGGTTGACGAAGTTAAATATCTAGGAGTCATTCTTGGTAAAAAATTGACTTTTCAGAAATATCTCAGGGAAACTGTGAAAAAAATCAATATCACGCTTGCAACTACGCGTCCACTTCTTGGCAGAAGAAGTCATATGTCCGTCTCTAATAAACTCCTCTTATATAAATCTATACTTCGACCAGGATTACTCTATGCTAATCTTGTCTGGGGCCACGCTGCCACAACACACCTTCAGCAAATCCAAGTTCTTCAAAACAAAGAACTCAGAGAGATCATCGTTGCGCCATGGTTCATTCCAAGTTCGTATATCCACCGTGGTCTCAAAATAGATACAATTCAAGATTATATTAAAAAAAACTTGCCAGAAATTTCTTCTATTCAGTTCTCACTCATCCTAACAACTGCATTAATTCTCTTAGATGTTCTCCATTTCCCAGAGAAAAGCACAAATATCCATCTGACATTTCTCCATCCTTAACAGTTTTTATTAATACTAGATTCTTCAGTTCACTGATTTGGACCTTCAATCAGACACTCACCTTTTTCGTCGACTGATGGCGGCCACCTGACTTTTACTTTCGTCTTTTTGTTTTACTGATGTTCTTCACGTGATACAGAGTAAAAGGTGTTGGTGTATTTAATTATGGCAAAGCACACGAGAGCTATCTGCCTAAGGGGAGGGATGCCTTCGTGGAGGACTTTCTAAGGGAAACTGGCTCGTATACACGTTACACATGGGGAAAAACACGAAAACGCCCATGCAGCCAGCCCGTTCGCGAGATTCGAACCTCGGACCGAACTACCAGTGTTCAGCAACTTTACCGTTCGGCCCTACAGAGTGGTGGAGCCTACAGAGAGTAAAAGGAGGTGCTGCTTTCTGAAACTCAAATTCACTATATGTTCTTAGTAGTGATAATTACAGTACTTGAACTTTGTAACTAAACAAGAAATTATGTCAGTCTATATTGAATTAAAGATAAAATATTAGCACAAAAACCTAAGCAAATTTAAATTAATAAAGCAAACAAATATGTATAGAGTTTTTTTTTTTCCTTTTCGTAAATCTTTTATTACTTTAAGATCATAAATGCTTCATTATTTCATAAACAGCTATTTCAGATTTTTAATTTTGTGATTTTCACTTGTCATTTTACTAGATTTAAACTGACTATCTAAAATCCAGTAAATTTTCAATCGAAGTCTGGATCTCGGACGTGTATCATAGGAATGTTAAAGCAAAGAAAGCATCGACTGTAACAGGAAGGATTCATCTGTATACTGCAAAACTGACTAGTAAAATTCCTCATGCGATTTTGCGTGGAATTCACTTTGTAACGGTTTCCTTCCTCCATTCCTTCTTAGAGAGAAACACCTGCAATGGCTCTTTTTTGAGCTGGACAATAAGATAGTATTCCAGAATAAAAATATAAATGTAGCGTTTCAGAACTAGTTCTACATGCGACATAAAAAAAAAGTTTTCATAGGTAAGCAGGCCAAAAATTCATTGTTCAGTAAGATAAATGACCTACTAATTATGCTGCATACTTTCAAAACCTGAATATCATAACGGGTTTGGTACATTTCATCTTTCTTTTCTGGCCCTTTATAATAATAAAATATCTTTACAGCATAAACGCTTTTCCAGCATATATTAGATTTCTAAAAGTCATGCTAGTTACTTGGATACAGCAGCGTATGTTGTACTATTAATGCATTTTTCGTGTTAAGAAGGGGATCATAAATCTTGTAAAACATGCAGAGAGTTGAAAGTTTAAGAAATGGTGCTAAATGAATATTGCAACTCTTTTTATTCTTTAAATAGTTTGTAGAAGCTTTTCTACTTTAAGTACCAGTTTTTGACAGGTTGAAGAATTAGAGGCATTAATTAATTACCATTTGAATATTAAACAAACAAAGGTTTTCAAGAATATCATCACAAAATAAAAACTTGTTCCTTACATTATACTTTGGCTTATGGCTGTAGACCTCAGAATCAGCAGTAGCATAATAAACACGTAGACAAATGAAATTTTTCCTGCAGGAAAAATTAAACATTTCAGAGAAGTTACATATATATTTGAAAATTTAGTTTATAAAATATTTAACTGTTATATAAAATCGAAGGTTTACTATTTTATCAGGACGTAGTAAAATTGTTTTCAGAATTTCTTAAAGGTCTCTGATGAATACACTGAGGAGCCAAAACTTTACGACCACATAATCAATAACGCGTTGCGCGATCTCTGGCCTGCAAAATAGCTGCATCTCGCCTTGGTATGGATGCTACAAGTTCTTGGTAGATGACTGGCGAGAGGTTGTACCAAATGGTCTAAGCAACGGGTCATGCAAAGTCCAGATATTCCGACATGATGGTGTTTGAGCTCAGAGTTGGCACTGCATGACATCCCAAATGTGCTCTACTGGGTTAAGATCTGGCTAGTTAGGTGGCCTGAAAAGCGCCATTTAACTGCACAACTAATTCGAAATTATGTTCAGATAATCTGCAGCTTTCAAGGTTTATTCTACGACAACTAAGTGCCCCAGAGGGGAACGTCCCACAAAGCATAATACCGCCGCCACCAGCCTGTGTATGGCCTGCTGTAAAGGGGGAGCAACTGTTCGCCTAGAAGATGGCGTATCCTGACAGCCATCGACGTGATGAATGAGAAATCGTGATTCAACCGACCAGGCAACTGTCTTCCACTTATCCAGTCTCGATGTTCCTGGGCCCAGTATAGGCGTAGTTGACAATGACGCTTTGTCAACAGAGGCACACAAGTGGGACATTTATGCGCATTCTCATATCCAACAGTTCTGCTGAACTGCGTGTTCCGAAACAATGTACTTGGATCTTCATTGTATTGGGTGTCGCTGAGTCAGTGTCATAAGCCATTTTGCTCTAACAATCGGGGCAATCCTCGAAGTCTTTCCTTTGATGACGCGGGACGTCCAACTCTTGGCGTCTATTGCTGGTTTATCGTTTTTATACACTTGCATAAATACTAGCAACGGAGATCACGAGCACCTACAGTCTTGCAGTTTTCAGAGATATTTCGTCCCAAGTCTCGGGCCATACAGTCTGCCCTCTATCAAAATCGCTTAGCATCACTCGCAAAATAAGTGCAGAATAATTCTGTACTTTCTCTAAGCAGCAGATAAATTTCATTCCCACTTAACCACATGCCCTCCACATCATCCAGACGAGTTCATTGGAAAATGCGGGAATGTTTTGGCTTGTCAGTGTAAATTGAATGCAGTAGAAATTAGAAGAAGGCTGAAAATTATACAAATATGGAAAAAGTGTAAGCTACGTTTTGCTTTGGTTTATTTAATTATGGAAAAGCCCACTAGGGCTATCTAGCCGTCTAAGGGGAGGGATGCCTTTCGTGGAGGACTTTCTAAGGCAAACTGGCTCGTATACACGTTACACATAGGGAAAACCACGAAAACGCCCATGCAGCCAGCCCGTTCGCGGGATTCGAACCTCGGACCGAACTACCAGTGTTCAGCGACTTTACCGCTCGGCCGCTGGTGGGCAAAGTGTAAGCTACAAGGTCTGTTTTTAGAGCTTAATCATATTGTGCAAACAATTTAAGAAAGTTTCTAATATTTATGTACTCAAATAATTTGGTAAGAACGAATTATCGTACATTGATATATCAGTTAAACTTTTGGTAAAAAATAATCTCCACTGCTCATTTAGATGTTATTTATTATGTGTAGATATATATTTTGCATTTAGAGAAACACGAATAAACAGAAAGTGTACTTCAAATGTTTTGTGCTTATTTTAAGTTTCCTTATTGTGTCAGAAGACATCAGTAACATGTTATATCTGAATGAAACTGAAAAATAATGTTATCTCCGCAAGTAATTTCGGATTATTTTAAATATTAAAAATGCTAGTTTGTTTACTTTACATCAAGGATTTCCAGCCTTTTTCTTGCATTGACACCTTTTAAAGGAATAGTTTTATTCATCGACACATTTTTCTCAGTAATATACAATACAAAACATAATCATAACACAAATAATTGCGCATGAAGAATATAGCATATAAGTTAAGAAATGAACAAAAATTTTGAAAAATAGTTCATTAGATTTACGTTAAATTATTTTTTGTATTATTATTATTTTTAGTTAAAAAAATATAACCAAGTTTTCAGAAACAAAATCTCAAATTCTAATTGTACAAAAGTTCTATTTTAATTAATGTGATGGCTACGTTTCATGTTTAAATGCAATATTTTTAATAGTTAGTATAAAATTGAATAACGTAACTTTTAAATTACCTCATTCAACAATATTCAACCTGTTTACACGTGAATTATTGACGTGACTAAAGTTTGCTTCGATTTGGTTAAGAAAAGAGAACAGAGGAATTTCAATTAAATGTACTTCAAATGTTTTGTGCTTATTTTAAGTTTCCTTATTGTGTCAGAAGACAGCAGTAACATGTTATATCTGAATGAAACTGAAAAATAATGTTATCTCCGCAAGTAATTTCGGATTATTTTAAATATTAAAAATGCTAGTTTGTTTACTTTACATCAAGGATTGTAAAAAGCGTAGAACTTGGCGACTCACGTCCATTCATTGGCTTGCGCGTTTGCGTAATCTCTCGGGCGATACTGTAAAAAGAGCATGCCTCAAAACTCTCTGGTTCGCGCGTCTTCCTACAACCACACCCCCAGCATAGTAGGGGCATTGAATGACGGCCTATCACAGTTGGCTGTTGTGGCAGACAGAATTCATGATCTGGCCACGTCTCCTCAAATCAATGCAGTATCGTGCATAACACCGCTGGAAGCACAAATTGCGTAGGTCACTCAGGAATTGGTCGCGATTGGCATTATTGTAGCCGCTCAAGAGATGGTAAATTTAAAAATCCTGAAGTCGCGTAATCGAAGTCGTTCCAGAGGACCCTATAAAGAGCTGGTAACCAATCAATGCGTTCATCTCTTTTACTGTTTGTATCCTGTATGTTTTACTTTGTACAGTAATTGGCAAGTTAGGAGTTTCGGACTCACCACCACATCCCACGCGACTAGTCTCATGCGTTGCTCTCGAAACATCGAAGCAAAGGGCTTCTTTTTGTATCACCTCTTCAATTGTACCTCGTATGGAGAACTCTCATCTTCGGATTTCATCATATGTCAGGCCCAGTCGGAATTTTCTGAGGGTACTGGCAAGAGCAGCAACGAATCATCCTGCTGAATGCCAGAAAAAACACCAAAGTATCAATGCTTTCATCATACGAATTTTGGCTCTAATGCTAAGAAATGTACTTTCCCATGCTCTCTCCGGCAAATGGAAACTAATTCGGCGATCGCATTTGGGCCATAATCACGACTGCAATGTAAATCGCATTTTTTAGCCGATCATTCATCCAAATTGAAATTTTTGATTGACACAGAAGCGAGCATTTCCATCCTTCCGGTTAATCCCACGAAACAGTCTATTGTGAATGAGATATTAGTTCTATATGCCGAAAATAGAATAAAAATACCAACCTTTGGTAATCGACGTCTGACTCTTGACTTAAATTTAGGGCGAAAGTTCACTCAAGTATTCCTTTAGGTTACCTCCGAGTTTCATAAAATTTTGACTGAATATTAGAACTTGAGTCAAAGTACCATTATCTAGCATTTGCTGTGGAACAGTTTTTCCTGGGTACCTGTAGTCCTCTTTAATTTTGTATGAGATATGAATCAATAAATTTATTTGCTGGCTTTTACTTCCATAAAAGTATAAAACCCCTTCATTCCAGGAAATTTATCAACTAGGTTTGCTAGATATGCTCGCACATTATCATTTCTAAGATCACTTTCCCGTTTAGAAAGTATATTATTTTTAAGATCCTATTCCCGTTTAGAAAGTAAACTTACACGTGCAGGGAAGTCTATATTTAATCACTAATCTCAATTTTGAACTCCAGTGTTTTGCATGTGTTATTTTCGATAAATTTTCATTATTGTTATTGTTATGAAAATTTTCCATTAAATCTGTGAGTCCCCCCTGGAATGAATTATTTGACAGTAACTAAGCTTTATTTCATAATTTCTTAAAATTTTCTGTGAAATACATTATCGTATTGAATTCAACATTACATTTTTCTGAAATTAATACACTTAAATGACTGTTTTTATTTTTCAAAACATAAAACTAAAAATATTTTTTCGTAACTAAAAATAATTTTTAATTTTAAGGAAAAAATATTTTTGCTTTGCATATTACGTTTTAATTATTCGCATTATTACACTTTAGTGCTTTTGTAACAAGATTATATAATAAAAGACCGGTCAACATGAACAATGTAGAAGTGATTTTAAAAAGTAAATATATTGAAGTTTCTTTTAATTACGCTATGACTTGTATTATATGTACAGTATATATTTATTTTCCAATAAATGTTGAAATCGCAGAACAGCATGCCTGTATTACAGAGCTGAATGTCTCTGTACAGATGTTGTAGATATTAAAATGAGTGTTGCTAGCTTTTACTCTGCTAAATTTTAAAGGTGTGTACTAAGCACAACTCTTTTTAGAATTCCAAAGCCGAAATTTATGCGAGTTCAGTGATAATTCATTACACGGGCTGATCATATTAAAGGCAAATGATGGCTGACTGCTCTTCCATTTCCAAAACAATTGTCCAGTAGCCTTTTCAATGGTAGTTTCAATGGTTCCCTGTCTTGCATGAAAATAGTCATATCCAGACACTGAAGCTGTTGCAGTGTTGGTACAAATGTGATTTCTCAAAAGAGGCTCATGTCTATGTTCGTTAACAAAACATATAATGGAACCTTCAGAACCAACTTTCTCAATGTGTGCACACAATGACCATTGAGGAATAACAAGGCACCTGACATAATGCATGTGGATTTTCAAATGTCCACACTCTGTCATGATGAATATTAACATTACCAAAAATATCGAAATCTGTTTTGCGAATCCACAAAATACTCCCCAGCTATTTCATTGCTGATTTCCGTATGGGCAAAATATTGGGAATGTTACGCCATCGATTGCTCG